GAACTTCTTTGGCCTTTTTCATATTTGGACAAAAAGTCTAAATAATTCCATTGAACTTAAATTTTTGTTTCTCTCAGTAAGTACATGCCGTATGCAGTAAGTATAAGTCAAAAATTTCAAGTGTCCATCTGTTTAAATATTTATTTCGTTTTTCTTATAGCACTCATGAATAATTCCTAAAAGATCTCTGTCGAATAAGATTAAAACTCTGAATAATTTTAAAGTGAAAGATACTAGACCATTTAATTATAGATTAGTTAAATGACGGGAAAAATTTAATATATTATTTTAGGGTAAAATTAATGTAGCATCTAACATTTCTGAGCTGCCTTAATGTTTTTTCTTTTCATTCACTGTTTTAATAACATATAATCTTATGTGGGAATCCTTTAATATCTTCCTTGTAGTTTCTTTTCGCATCGAATTCTTTTCAAGGATTTAAAAGTATTAAAACATAAAACTCTCCAAAATCTACTTCTATTTCTACTGCTTAATATGAATATTTAAACAGGAAAAAAGGTAATAATTCCGACGTAAGCTCTTTTCCAAATTCTTATGATATGAAAAAGGCGAACGTCGTCATTATAAATATTTATGGTGCTTTTACGCATTCATAATACCGTATGAGTATTTAACAATTCATAACATTCGCTCTATGCTCATTTCAACAAAACTATTCTTTGTCATCCACAGAGAAACAGCAATCCATTGTGCTTGAGAGGCTTATCTAAATGATAATGGTAATAACCACTTGTTCTAGTTGGAATTGAAATACTCAAGTATGGAGGATGGCGAAAAAGATAAAAGTCTCCTCTCCTCTAATTTATTCATGCGATTCCGCCGGATATTAAAACAAATAACTGCAGACAAGTAAACAAAATGTTAATAGGTGGAAGTTTCCAAAATAATTTAATATTTCTGTTCTTTCGGGTGCTGTGGGTGTGGACTGACTAAGTTGAATGCAGTTGCTGTTTGAAGTTTGGCTGCTTTGAAGAGACTGATTGTTTAACAAATGTCAATAACGTTTTTGTTTATACTACTCAATGGAATACAAGTGAAATAATGTACTTAAAATGCTTTCTTTTTTATTTTTATGCTTGATGCTTTTGTTTATTTTTTAACTGATCATCTTTTGTATGCCAAATAAATAAAAGGATTTTGCTGAAAATGGTTTATTTATGCTCAATTGGTTGCTTATTGATATTGTGTCAAAACAGATGATAGCTGTCTATCTTTGTACTAAGCACCAAAGCAATTTTGATTGCGGGATACCTTTGTAAATAATTACAATTACCTCCACATCTTCGCTACTAAAGATGAATTAAATAAGAGAAAGCAATCGCTAAAGAGGAGACAACACCGTTAAGGATTGAAGAAAGGAGCCCCCTTGGGGAAAAGAGTAGTGACAGTCTGCGGTTAAACTCATAAAAGGGGTCAGTAATCCCCATGATGAGGCACGCGGTCTTTGGGGACGAAATTCATTGATAAATTTTGTGCCCAAAAGTTCGTTTTTATCTAAGTAACTAAGTTTATGAAAGCAATATGTTAATTCCAAAATGATTCATATTTGCCAGATACTACATACCCACTAATTAGCAATCTGCGGTTTGTGTACGAGTTGTACAAGTTTGAGCCAAAGTACCAAGTCTTAAATGGAGCTCAATGAATCTCTAGGATATCATTTTAATTGCAACTGAAAAGTATGAAAAACTCGGAATCGGTTGGCTGTCTAAATCAAATTATAGAAGCAGAATTCAAAGTTATTCTCAGAGGAATCTTCTTTCAGTGTACTTAGAAAGAAGCATGAGAAGTGGACAAAAAACTTCATAATACTCAAGAAAATTATGGAAAAAATTGCGATGAATTTGCAAATACGAAACAACGTAGCTAGATTACTTTGTAGAATAAAACGATTAAATAAAAATCAGTGTTATGTAAATAATTCCTTTGAAAATAGTGAACAATTATCTTTTAATAGTATTCGTTTAAAAGATAGTATTCGTTTAAAAGATTAATAACCAAGAATATTATTTTTTAATTGCTTTCAATAATTTGGCAAATAAATTCCACAATCCTTAGGAGAATGAACTTAATTAAAAATATATTTATTCGAATAAATTTTTAATTATTTCAATAGAAAATTTTTTACGTAAATTGTTGATAAGAATTCAGATAATACTATATTTTTACTTTGCATAAATATAGATTAAACATATATTTACACAGTTTTATTCATAACTTCAGAGGTTGGACAATGAAAATTAAATACTTAGCGAATATAGAGCTGCAGTTCTCAAGCCAGTTTGTGCCATTCCGTTTATGAATTTTGGATGATTTCAAATTTTATTAACAGCAGCAATGTGAAGTTTGAATTTTCAGTGTTATTAGTCTTTCCAACATTGACAGATATAGGACATAAATGAGAAGTGCATATCGTATTTTATAAAATGATTCTTTTGTTCGTACTTGGGTAATGGTGCATATGCTACTAAGATGTCAAATCTTTTTAATGCATCAGAACCAGCAAGGTATGTCTTTATGCCGAAAAGCTTGAGATTCGGAGAAATCGACTAGAAAGTTAACTGGAAAAGATATTTCCGAGAAGCTAAGAAGAAATAAACCCAGAAAAATATTAAGGCAATGGTTACTGAAATTAGAATAGAACTCAACCTTCTCCCGAACTCTTCCTTTTATACAACAAACTGACTGTCGGAAGATTCACAGGCTTAGGCAGCTAAAACAAAGCTTCTGGGAACCAGCAGTCGTGCTAAAACGAGGAGTATGCAACAGCCATACAAAACTTGAAGCATATAAAATGCAAAATTTGTATTGCTCATTACCTCCACTACATTCTCCCCCATTCTGGGAAAGTTTATGCATGAAGTGTTCCTTCAAAGGTATATGATCCAAACCATCTCGTGACCAAAGTAAAGCATGAAGATGGATTGGGGACAAATGAAGCCTCAGTATCACGAAATCTCTAGGAACTCTGATTGTTTTTAACAGTCAAATTACTGTCATGGGTTATCGATTGACAAAGTCCACTTAATTGTTCAAATTTTGTAACTCGAAATGCGTACTGTGTATTAGGATGCAGCAGTTCACTCCACAAAACTGGTGCTAGAAGGGCTTAAAGAATATTAAATTGAGCTTGAACATCTTCCATGTCTTGCACAATCCCGTGCTCTCAGCCTCACGAGATTATCTTGGATATGCTAGAATTGAGAATCATTTTCTCTTACGCCATCAAGAAGTGAAATAGCCATTGTATTGCAAAAGGAACGGCTAAAAATACTCTTAATGACCGCTAAAGAATTATATGATCTCCAAAGAAGGATCCTGCTGGAATCTTGTCTTCCCAAAGAGGATCTGCATCATGTTATTAAAGTATCACGCTCTTGATTGATGCGTTTTAATTTCATTCTCCAGTTCTTACATATGGCATCTTCAGTTTTATCTTATCTTTTCCGAAGCAATGAACTTTATATGTCCTGTAGAAAATGACAGTTGATTAAATGCATTTATTGAATAAGTGTTTCTGAAGAGGTAATTAGTTTATTACGTGGCATAGGACACTTTCAGTCAAGATAAAATTTTTTAAAATTAAATTGAATGAAATTTTTTAGTATTTGAAACGGTTACAAGCGGACACCGCGGACGGAAACGTCGTGGACGAAATAACGCAAAGGGAAAACGGGCAAACAATCATGGAAAAAAAAAGAAAGCAAGGAGAAAACATCTCAGTTCTAAAACATCGTACTACAAAACATTGGCGTCAAAAATAAAGCGGTTCAAAAACTCGCAATTTAAAAACATCGTCGTCAAAAATATTATGGCAAAAAAATTTAAAAAAAAAAAACTTATAAATAATTCATGACGATAACATGACAAACATGAGTTTTTCGGGCTTTTAAAGTTGTAAATGCATATTCGCATTATTCGTGAGCCCAAGAAGGAATAAGGAATATTTTTACTGTTATATTTCTTATTTTTGAATTAACTAATAAATCTTTGGTGAAAAAGTTAAAAGGAAACTTAAGCGTTTAAAAACTGAAAAATGGGTAGAAAATTAATGCTGCTTATAACAATTAATAGAATTTGAAGCTTACGTATTTAACTAATAAAGTTCATTAATAATTTTAAATCTTTTATAAATGGTATTTCTTCATAAAAATTATAATCTAAAAAAGATTAGGAAAAGAAAGATGAGTAACTGCTTGAGGTTACTTCTGCTAAAACTATTCAGTTGCCAAATTGTTAGATTTGACGAAACATATCAGCTACATTAGCTTTTAGTAAGAGATTTGGATTTATTGAATTATGGCAAATCACAGTAGAGCTATCTGCTTAAGGGAGGAATGCTTTTGTGGAGGACTTTTAAGAACTGGCTTGTATAGACGTTATACATTAGGAAACCTATGAAAATCTCATGCAGTCAGACCACTTTTCTCATCGAACTACCAGTGTTCAGCAACTTCACTGTTGCTGGCCATTTGAGCAGGTGAACATTAATAGAAACTATTTCGCATTTATATCAGTCAATGGGAAGACTCGAATTTAAAAATATTCCTCATTCCTTCTGGTCCCTAGAAATCATTTTATGAATGCAACTTTTAAAGCCTGAAAAATTCACGTCTGTGATGTTATCGTCATGCGATTATTTGAAAGGTGTTTTATTTCTTACCACGATATTTTCGACGACTCTGTTTTAGAACTGCGATGTTCCCTCCTTGCTTTCTCCCATGATGTTTTGTTCGACAACTTTTCGCCTTGCGTTGTTTTTTTTTATTCTTCTCTTCTTTGAATGTGCAATAAAGACTTTTCCATAATTTATTTCTTATTTTTGTAAGTTTTTCTTCAGAGACACGTGGAAATTGAAGATAATCCTAATCACTGCTTATAGGTTATTATAAAAATTGTTCCTTGTAATTTCTTTTAACGTGAAAGCAATTATTCAAGTTGTACTATAAATAACAGGTATCTATATCTTTCTATTTCAGATCTGAAGAAGCATTTCGAGAACCAGCCTCTCAGTACCCACGTAGAGATCGAAGGACAAATATCGCTTCAGTGCCTTCCACCAGAGGGCATTCCACCCCCCGAAGTGTTTTGGATGAAGAACGGGGAAGTGATTGACACTTCCAAAGATCCAAATTTCATCATCTCCAACGAAGGCAATCTTCTCATCAGCGTGGTCAGGTTGGCAGATATGGGCAACTACACCTGTGTTGCCAGAAATCCAGCTGGCAGCAGGTTGAGCGAAACAGCCACCCTCACAGTTTACGGTAAGTCGATACGTTAATAAAATGGAACGTTTAATGTGTAAATCCATTTTTAGGAAAAGCTGTGAAAATAATAATTCAGATCAAAGGTCTCCAACAGACTGTCGAGCCCTTCAAGAATTTCCCAACTTATGACCGTCTTATATCTGCTTGAAGGTCACATTGTTACTTTAGCGATTTGATTCTGTGGCGTTGAGTGTTTTTAGCCATTAAGCTTGTTTCCGCCTGCTTTTAAAAAATTTGAAAGCTTTCAGATTTTATGTTATACCCAAACAGGCGTTTTTCTTTATTTACAGATACAAACACGTTTCAATAGCATTTGGGCTAACGCCACGTTGGTCTAAAAATATTTGAAAACAGCATATTTTAGAATTTCCGATAGACAGTCTCGTGTGCTGCAGATAAAAATATTTTATTCCTTACAGTGTTACCACTGCTTTCTTTGAAATTGTTGAGGTTTTTAACCAAAAATTCGTTAAAGTTATAAGTAATTTTCTCTCTCTTTTCTGCATGCCTTCGTGATGAACAGTAGTGTACTCGGCCTATATTCGAGAGTTAGAGTCCCGGCGAGGGCGCTGCTCATTTTTCATGTCTCCTGCTTCAAAATAATCTAATGACTCCACAGTGGCGCCCGAACTGCAAAAAAGTTGGTGGATGACGATTCTTCACCACCAGGATTTGGCGATTGGGTCCCCTTATCCCCAGTTGCTCTTTAAAAGAGAAAGTATATAAGGTATTTTCTCCCTCCTTTCTGCATGCCTTCGTGGTGTAAGAGTAGCACACTCGGCGCGTATTCGAGAGGTCCAAGTTCGATTCCCAGTGAAGGCATTGCTCATTTTCACTTCTCCAGCATCAAAAAGCTCTAATGACTCTACAGAGGTTTACATAATATGAAATAGACAATAAAACAGATTCCAAATTTGGGCTTTCAGGTGTCCATGTTCGGGTGGAGAACTATGCTATTCAAAATTTAATGACTCTAGATACCGCTGCTTTTTCACAGTGCGAGAAACATACATACATTCATGTAGATTGTTCATTATTTAGTTTCTTTAAATATAATACAGGGCGGTAATATCTGGTGGCAACAATTTGAGAAGTGATTCGACGCAAAATGCCGTTTCGAGACTGATAGTCCTTCTGGGCTAACGCCCATTTCGGTAAAAAATAATAGTTAGACTTTTAAAAACTACCTTTTTCCAAAACAGCTGCAATGAGATTAAAATTTATTGCCTAAAAATTAATGGCACTTTTTTGATGAAAGTTTTCTAGGAATTCTAATTCATCAACTTAAAAAAATAAAAGCATAATTAAAGGATCAAAACTAATTAACTATGAAAGACAAAAGTGCTCCTTTTCTGATCTAGTATGATCCACCTTGTTTGTCATGTCAAAAATTTAACGCTGACATTTATATTAAACTGCACAGATAAAAGAAAAAAAACTTTTTTTTTTTTTTAAACTGCAGAAAACTACATTCGTGTTCTGAAGTCTTACTAATTTAGATTCTTTTCAGTGAGTTGAAATCTTTCTTAGTGTTTAACATAGATGAAAAAAAGACTTCAACACAACGAAGAATATTAAAGACATGTGAAAAAAATAACTACAGTTAAGAAATAATTGATTCACTCTACTGGGAACAAGTAGCCTGAACCACGTAACTTTAGGTATTACGCGAAAAGATTTCTTGAAAATCAGTACTTTCATTTGTGGTGGCGTGAAAGCCGTATACAAGTCAGAAACATTGATACTTGATGGGGGCTGCTAGAGAATCCACCATAATAATCAAATATTGAGAAAATATCTTAGTTGTTATCTTAATCGTTCAACAACCACTCGGAATAAAAATATCACGAGTGTCTACTGGTGATAAGATAAAGGATTTGTCAAATCGAAGTGTAATTCGAAAATGGGATGTGTTGTTCAATGTATTAAATTTGTTTGAACAAGGTAAATTGCTTTGTATCTCTCCAAGCATTGTGTCTTGGCTTTAAAACTAATCTGTAAGCCATATTTATCAAATTTCGGAGGCATAGTTCGAGAAAGTTAGCAAGGGAATAAAGCAGGTCTGTTAGCATTAATAAACTATAATGTACTAAATTTTAAAATACGTTTGATATTACGTTTATAAATTTTCGTTTCACAATGAAAGATTATTTTAGCATAATAGAATTTCAAATATTTAGATTAACTGGGACCGCAGCTTATCCAGATATTTGAAACATTCCGACATTTAAATGATCTTTAATTTAAGCTATATATGTTTAAATATATGTAGTGTAAAGTAAATGAAGGAATTTTACTTTGCCCGTTATTTAATTTTATTTTAACAAAGATTGCTCAGTTACAAAAGTATTTTTATTTTCGTAAAACAAATATAAAAACCCACCTTTTCACAAAATCAAACAAACGCTGCACTTTTCGTAAGCCTAACATGGAAGTTGGAGTGTTATCACGTATTTTAATGTGATTAATTTGTTTTCCTCTTGCCTTACACCAGTCTTAAATTAAAGTTAAAAGCTTGGGACTTTAACCAAATATTTCATACCGGATTTGACGTCACAGTGTGGTGTTGCTACCGCGCAGTGAAGCCGTATATGTAGCACCTACGTTTGTTCTTACCATCGCGAGCCCATGTGAGTATTACTCTTGAGTTCAGTGATGTGGGACTTAATATTTGTCCAGATTTATCTTTTGATCTTAATTCTTCTATTATAGGTTTTAGCTTACAAATTATTAAGAAAAAAGTAACTTAGATAAACTGAATAAAAAAAGTTAATTTAACTTTTCTTTGCTTGCAAGCATTTTTCTGTAATGTAAAGTGTCCAAAGACATATCCTAAAGGTTACACACAATAACTCTACGATGACTTGCTTCGACAAGTCTGCAAACTGGACACTTTTCAAGTGTCCAAATCACAAGAATAAAGGTATCTTAATTTTAATAATAGAATTAAAGAAGAGATGAAACTACTTAATGAATACGTGCATCGCTATCGAGAGATTCTTTTATATTTTTGTGAAGTTTTGAATCGGATACAGCAGTGGACTTCGAACTTTGTCAACTCACGGAACGCTTAGAACTATATGGTTTTTGTTCGGAGAACCCGATCCCATCCTTAGAAAAATATGTTCTTAAAATAATATTTAAAGTACATCTCGTACTTCAGGTGTCACCTACCCTTGCATTATATTTAGTGATATGGGTGTGCTTGCATTCCTTTTTTTTACACAAATTGTCCAGTTGCATTTCATATTCTGATTCAGTTTGTTTCTATATTTTGTTTTTATTGTCAAATAAGTTGAGGAAAATTTTTCGCTTAGGTACGTTGTTCCGAATGCAATTCCAATGTTTATAGCTGTATGAGAAACTTCTAGATATCTGCAATGAATCTACAACCAAAGATTTAGGAGCTGCTCTTGCTTAAATTTAGATTTCAGCATCAAATCTGTTGATATATCCATAAGCGATTTTCTTTTCTTCATTGGCAATCCTCCTGAGTGGAAACCACAGTACACGAACAGATTTTTTTAAAATTCAGTCATGCTTTTTTCTTTTTCTTCTGGGAAATATTCTTTTATAGTTTTCTTCAGTTGAAAAGGTACTCCATTGTATAACTGTTAACACTGTCATCTAAGTTCAGTTAATTTTCCATTAAAAAGACTTTTTAGTTTTGTAAAGCATTGCACATCCTTCTTATTCACATAGAATGACCAGATGCTAAGTTTTAAAACTAATCTGTAACTAAATTTATCTAGAATTTGAAGAGCACTGGGATATAGGAATGCAATTAGCTATTCTGTTTGCAGATATTCACGAGGAAATATTAAGAAGGCATTTCCATTTCGCTTTATGAATTTTATGAATCAGGTTGCCAGCTTCATCATTTCTAAAACTGTATTTTCTGCAATTCTGTCATCCCTCATGAAACCTCTTTTATTTTTTAATCATTAATCCCTGTTTTCGCTTTAGGTACATAACGGAAAAGACGTGTTACTTTATGTAACGTGCAAACATGAGAACGAAGTGAACTTTGCACCCTATCTATTAATTTCTTTTTCAGACAAAATATTTTTAAAATTCTAAGAATGAATGTTTAAGGCTAAACTTATTTACCCTGTTTACGCTCTTTGTTCACATCCAAAAAACTTAAGCTTCAAATACCTGATACCTACCTTTTATATGAGTGATGAGAATAAGCTTGAAAAAATAAATCTAATAAAAAAACGATGCATTAATCTTTAGTTAATTTTCGGTCGCTTCTCCTCAAAGCCTTTTTTTTTTTTTTTCCCAATCATTAACCCATGAACTTCATTCATGAAAAGACTAAAAACCTACGAAGCAGAAAGTCACACTGACCCAACTTTCTTTGTTACCTTTACATCAATCCATTCTCAGGCCAATCGTGCTGCCAAAATTACCCTTACCTTCCCCATACCCTCCCAGTTAATAATGGACGCCAACCCTTTGAGCTCTCTTCTTACTTCTCAGCCGGTGGGAAAATTGTTCGGGTGAGGAGAGGAAGGGTTTTTTTCCCCTTACCCCTAGAATCTGAGACTTTTTGATTTTTATTATTTTTATTTATTTTTCTTTTCCCTGTAGGGGGTAGTGGAAGTTTTTGGGGTCAAAGGGTGATCATGCCGCTCGCTCATTACCTCATCGTTCGTCTTTTGCGTTGCAGACGGATAGGATTGTAAAAGGATGAGTATGATTGCTATGTTTTGGCGAGTAATCGCCAAAAAATGCGATTTTTGCTCATGGGTTGAGTTTGTTTTAAGAAACCCTGTACACAAGAATCGCATCGTATCCAGGAGGGAAAAACATAACTAGAGCAAGCAAGCCCTCTCCACCACTTGCACAGTATTTTTTCTGCAGTTATAACTAATGATAACTTCTTTTCCGATGATTCCCTAGACATAATTCTGCACATATACTCGATAGTTGATTCCTTGTATAGGATAGGAAAACAAAATATTAATTTAAATAAAAAGTGCAATAATAGT